ACTGAATAATAATAAACGCCAAAACGTGCTGTGTTTTAGCACAAGAAACACACTGACAATAACAAAGTTATCATAAGAACTCTGTGACATCTTCAGAGTTATCACAAGAACTCCGGGACATTTGAAAACTTGGCTGTAAATCTGTTTGCCGGTGCTTTATGATTGCAATTTTGCATTATAATTAGGTAATTATGTATGGCAAGGATGAAGACCAGAAATAAACAGGCCAAAACTTGTGAATTGGCAAGTTATTTCGAAATTTTACTGAAAACTACCAGATTTGAAACAAGAGGCGATTAAAAATGGCCTGTGAATTAGGCTTTGACACATAATACAAGATGTAAGTCAAGCTTAATCATCAAAGTTTAATTAAGCACCTAAAACTCATTTTTGAACGATGAAAATAACCATTTTAACGAGTGTTTTTGTAGTATATACAGATGTTTTCCGACGAACTCCGTGACAGTTATCACAAGAACTCCTGAACAAGTTATTATAAGAACTCCATCCTTCGTGTAACACTTCCTCCCTCGTGAAAATATTGATATTTAAATGTTTGTGATGGCTGTACTGATAAGGGGAGATTACTGCGTAGGAGATTGCGTTAAATGTCGCACGATTTACCCTTACTATTATATTAAACTGTCGCAACACCACCGTTAAATGTCGCAATATCTAAATTCATATAGTATGTCAATATTAAGGTTATGTTAAGGCCTCAACAGACGGTTGGATTTAGTTGTACAACACTTATTAGAGATAAGATGTACAATTTTCAAAGCAATACAACACTTGCATTCAGACCATAATTCTGCATTGAAGGAATCATCTGCAGGTTTCCCTAAAAAAGGTCCCTCCCAATTGATCCCTTACATACTTTACTCAGATTTTTTTTCTCAATGAGTAATGATTTAAACACCTCCGTTATTTTTAATATTTTTTTTATAATTTTATTTTTCTTCATGTGCAGCCTGACCGAGACTCAAACCTTGGACCCTCGGAATACCGTACTGCAGCTCTACTGACTGAGCTATCCGGCCGCCTACGAACTACCACCCCTGATGAGAGAACAGTTCAATACCGTGATATAATCATTTTCAGTAATAATTTGGGATTCGAACATACCACAACTTTGGGTCTTCTGAAGAGTTTTTCAACGTCATTTTAACCCCCATCTTACTACTATGTTTATCTTAAAGCCCTAATTGTTCTGGAATTTCATTCATTACACCTATTATCAGAAGATAATTTGGCAATCTGTTACTTGTCATTGCGGGAGGTCTGTACGACAAGATTTTCAAAATAGAACATGTCCTATCCCTAACATCATTAAGGTTTACGAATTCAAGAAATAGTAGCCTTCATACATTAAGATTTGCTTGTACATCTTAGTTTTAATTGGTGTTGTACTTCAAATCCTGTTGAGGCCTTTAGTGAACTGGGGACCTGCTATCTGTCAGATATAAAAGAATTTGCTGTGATGTCTAAATTATTGGTTGAAATTAAAGTAATCTTTGTCGGTATTATAAATTAACGACCATTATTTATGCCAAAGGGCCCCTTGGTGATAAAACGCATTTGTATACTTTTTTCATTTAGCAACCCAGATGTCGTGGGTTCAAGCTAGAGGATTGTCCCAGAAATATTCAATTAAAATTCAATTTTAGATCAGTATTTGATACTGCGTGTCGGCTTTTCATCTACAAGCATGTTTTATGGACCTGTATTATAGGTATTATACTACCTAGGTATCACAATTGGATTAGTTTTATAAATTTCATTGATGCAAACAAATCTGATTAGTTTTTCGCTCTTTTCCTTTTTCTTTTCTTTAGTTGCCAGTAAAGAAAAGAATTATTAGGACCAGTTTAATATTATGCTTTTCATGACCAGTTTAATTTTTGAACTTCTCGACATAAATCATCGGAGAATGGCGGACACTTTACTTATTGGTCTATCCTGGCGGGCTGATGATTATACAAGATGATACTGACATGTTAAAAATAATATCATTTGATTCTAGTTACCTTGTAATTATTGGTTCGTATTTTTTTAAAATAGCAACAAGCGATGTAATAGGAAATTGTTGCGCCAGCACAACCAAATTCAATCGCATTTTTTGGTGGTTTAAGCACGAATTTCAGTAGTAGTTCAATGTAAAAAAAAACTTGTTTTAAAAGGTTCTAAAGTAGTTAGAAAATCTCCATTGTTATATCAAGTATCACATGTCTGATAGTTTGATGCCGTTGGAATAAATGCAAGACTTTACCGATATGTAGTCTCAAAGAGGGAATGTGTTTTAGAAAGGTATTGCGTTGTATAGTGGTAAGTAAAAGTATATCTAGACTTTGGTATCGCCTGAATTTCTCACGTTGTAGGTAAAATGATAGGTCCCGTGGGTTTGGCAAGCCGTTTTAACCGTTAGCAAATAATTTTACAATCATTGCTTAGTACTGGCTGATTCCAGTTTATACAGTGTTTTATTACGCTTCGAGCTTCCAAAACAACAGAACTAAAATAAATTTGTATAACCTTAAAAAAATCAGATTGTAGAACGCTAGTACTTTACAATTAGCAATTTATACAAAATAAGCAGTCTGATACAAATAGATTTTTGTCGGATTTTACGTGAGGGACATGTTGTGACTTTTCAGTCTTACTGGTGAAGAAATACCTCAGGTGCCTTACCGTACATTTTTCAGGCACGAACGGGAACCTGAATAAAACCGGCGACGTTCTGTAAACTAGCTGGAGTATATTCTTCATTTATAGAGGATATTGAATGAGTGTAGTTTAATACTTAATTTATTGAACGAGTTGAATAAAATCATATTATGCGAGCCTCTGGCGAGCATAATATTGTTTTATTCAACGAGTTCAATAAATTTAGTATTGAATCTACACGAATATAATATTCTATTTATCACATATATGAAATAAGAACAGTAAACTGTTAAAATGAGTAATTTTTCAATGACGCGCCTATAGTGTAACGCTAACATCAGCGCGCTTTGACGCTATGTTTCTATATAGCGCAAATGACGTCACGTCATTGTGTTATTACACTAGTGTAATATCGTTTTTATTAAATGGCTTTATTACACTCCTGCGCCGCGGTTTATGTGATAAAAAGTATCTTTGCGGGATTCGAACCCGCAACGGTCAGGAGCAAGTAGACAGACACAAGTACGCAAAGCAATATACTTAACAAATAATTTTTATATGCACATAACATATGTAGAGTACTTGCATACTATTATTTAATCAATCGCTTTTACAGTTTAATTTTACTCATAAAGGACATTTAAAAAGCATACATGTATTTTGTCTTGAATCAGCAGATTCCGAACATTCCTCTAGGTCCCAAAGTTACTAAAGATATACAACCATTTACTCTGTGATTATTGTAATATTATACCACTAGCAAGCTTAATTTAATCATGAATATACATCTTGCGACATTTAACGGTAAGGGAAAATCGTGCGACTTTCAACGTTACAGTTGCGACATTTAACTATAGTCAATTCTGCGACATTTAGCGTCGGTTGCGGCATTTAGCGGCAATGGTGCGACATTTAGCGGTAAGTGCGACATTAAGCGGCGTTGCGACATATAGCGGCACCACCAACACAATTTCAGATCATTCGCTCACTCCATATTTCTAAAATAATCATTTTTGATGTGCGAAATGATCTTAAATGAAAAGCTTTTATCAAAATCGAGCAAAAATGCACAAAATATCGGTTTGCAATGGAATTCTGGGCATAGTTTTTTATCACATAAACCGCGGCGCAGGAGTGTAATAAAGCCATTTAATAAAAACGATATTACACTAGTGTAATAACACTTTGACGTGACGTCAATTGCGCTATATATAAACATGGCGTTAAAGCGCGCTAATGTTAGCGTTACACTTTAAACGCGTCGTTGAAAATATACTCATTTTAACAGTTTACTGTTCTTATTTTATGTATGTGATAAAAAGAATATTATATTCGTGTAGATTCAATACTAATTTATTGAACTCGTTGAATAAAACAATATTATGCTCGCCAGAGGCTCGCATAATATGATTTTATCCAACTCGTTCAATAAATTTAGTATTAAACTATACTCATTCAATATCCTCTATATATTATGTTTGTAATTTTTCCGTTTCAAGTTCCCCAGTTTATCGATGTAGGATTATTAATTTTTATGATTTTGGCTTTTTGGACATCATTGAATTCCCTTTTATCAAAATAAGTCTTCCACCGTTTTTTTTTTGTTTGTTTTTTTTTTTTTTTGTTTTTTCATCAGTGCTTTATATGTACGTATATATTCATGAAAAAGAGAGTAACATACGAGGAATACATTAACATTGTACACGTATATATAAAAAAGTAGCGTACGGAATGTCGGTAATTCCATTCTGGTACCTTCTTTGTACCTGTTACAATACATAGAGGCTACAGAGATCTTCCTCCATCAGTAAAATCCTCCATCAGTAAAACACAATAAGTCGACATATGAACTTTCTCGTATAGTGCTGGTTTGAGTAAAAAAAGTTGTTATGTTTTCTATAGAGAAGTAACACGTCTTTAATGCTGAACTATCGTTTATTAACTGATTTGATACAGAGCGTGGCATGCTAAGATAGGGTTAGTAGGCGGGGCTTATTAGTAATACATTCTGACCAATGAATAGCAGAGTAATACACAACAGTTCTCCCTTCTTAACATTTTAGTCCATTATCATATAATTAATACTAAAAATATAATCAAATAACAAGAAAGAGACAACTGGTAGAATCATTTAACAACATGAGATATACGAGATTAATTCATTCGTAAACCAGATCAAACTATCGACCTATTGTTCGTAATTCACCTTTGACTTTTATTACAGTTCACACGAGTTCATTCAGTGGTATGTTTACAACAAAATAGTGTAATGTTTAATTAGATAGCACATTAACTGTCTGTACGCTCTCGAATGTTTATACAGTTACGTAGTCAACTCAGTATGAGAAACGATTAGGTGGTTTGCGTTCTCTCAATGGGTATCTTCGTTCCATTAACATTTGATCTGATCTTTTATTTTCATTTAATGATGGCATTTTCTCAGGATTACCAGGTACTAACAAAGGGTCATTTCTCTCGGTCATAACTGGCATTTCTGACAAATTAAGCGGGATCATGTTTAATGGTGAACTTTCTCGGCGAGAAAGCTCATTATTCATTTCTGATTTCCGTAGCTGGTCAACATGCCTTCTCCAGACTTGATTGTTACCGATATCAATTTTATACATGAGAGGTCCCTCGCGGGATAAAATTGTACCCGATAACCATTTTTCGGTTGAAGTAGGCCTATAGTCTCGCGCTATTATTGAGTCTCCTTCTTTAAACTCTCGGAAATTTCGCGATTCCGATGTTGCCAGTTTCATTCTTTGTTTTTCGACATAACCGTCTATATCCGGTTTTAATAAGTCTAACTTGCTTCGCAAACTTCTGCCCATAAACATCATCGCAGGACTTTCTTGTGTGCTTTGATGTACAGAATTGCGATATGTTAACAAGAAATTTGCCAACTTTAGATTTAGGTCTCCTTTATCAAATTTCATTGCTCGAATTCTTGACTTAAAAGTGCCGTTCAAACGTTCCACTAAACCATTTGTGGACGGTTTAGCAACTGCGGTTCTTATATGAAAAATACCGTTATTTTTCATAAATTGCGCAAATAAATCTGATGTAAATTGTACACCATTATCGCTTACCAATTGTTTTGGTATACCATAACGACTAAATATGGTCCTTAATACATTGACTGTTTTTTCGGCAGACGTACAATTTCCCATATCCTCTATTTCAGCCCATTTGCTTCGAGCACAAACTATTACTAGGAACATATGACCTTGAAATGGACCTACAAAGTCTACATGAACGCGTTCAAAATTAGAGCGCGCATTTTCCCATGGGTGAAGTTGAACTTTTTCTGGCATTTTCTGCTGCATCTGACAGCCCTGACATTGTCTCACCATGTGTTCAATGTCTGAGTCAATGCCAGGCCACCAGACATAACTTCGCGCTAAATTTTTCATTTTAACTATTCCACTGTGGCTACAGTGCAGAAGATCTAAAACTTGACCTCTGAGTTTCTCAGGAATAACAACTCTAATTCCCCACATTAAACAGCCTCTTTGAATAGTTAATTCGTTCCGGCGCGTGTGATAACCTTTCAGGACAGGGTCATTTAAGTTCAGACTCCAGCCCTTGTTTACATTTTCGTAAACACGCGATAAGATAGGTTCACGCTGCGTTTCACGCTTGATTTGCGCGCTAGTTATAGGAAGTTTATCAAATTGTTCATTGAAAAATACTTCCTCAAAATTACTGTCATTTTCTAATATTGATGGCGCGGGCAAACGTGACATTCCATCGACATTAGTATGTTTCTTAGTACTTTTATATTCTATATCATAATCAAAGCCTGACAAATAAACCGCGTATCGTTGTATTCTCGCAGCAGAAGTTGCAGGGATGCCCTTGCTCGGAGAGAATATAGACAACAGTGCTTGACAGTCTGTTATCAGCGTGAATTTTCGACCATATAGATACGGATAATATTTGTGTACTGCCCAGTATATTGCAGTAGCTTCCCTTTGTACTTGCGCGTACATTCTTTCAGACTTTGATAGCGAACGGCTTGCAAATGCAATTGGTTTCTCACTGCCATCAGGCATTACATGTGATAATATTGCAGAAATACCGACAGGGGAAGCATCCGTTGCTAACCGTACGGGTAATTTCGGATCGTAATGCGTAAGGACGGGTTCTATTTTAAATAGATTAAATGTATTACTAATAAGCCCCGCCTACTAACCCTATCTTAGCATGCCACGCTCTGTATCAAATCAGTTAATAAACGATAGTTCAGCATTAAAGACGTGTTACTTCTCTATAGAAAACATAACAATCTGGCGACGAGGATGGGATTGAACATTAAATTTCGGGGATTTTATCTATTAGATATTAATGTTATTATCATAATATGTGTAAAATTCTGGATTTAATTTATAAGTTTTAAAATGGCTGCATTAATTGGACATTTATCTGGATTTGATGGCAATTCAGAATCATGGACATGCTATCAAGAACGTTTAGAGCAGTACTTTTTAGTAAATGAAATAGACGATGAGAAAAAAGTTCCAGCTTTATTAACTTTACTTGGAGAAAAAACTTACGGGTTACTTCGAAATTTGACATCACCGGACAAACCTTCAACACAGTCATATGACGATCTTTGTGAATTATTGAACAAACATCTTAGCCCAAAGCCATTGATTATTGCTGAACGATCGAAACCAAGCGGCGGGTGAAAGTGTAAATGATTACGTAACTTCACTTAGGAAATTGGCAGAACATTGCGGTTTCCAAGCCAGCCTGAACGATACGTTACGGGACCGCTTAGTTTGTGGACTTAAAGATGAGCACATACAGCGTAAACCATTGCCGATGGAAGACTTAAGTTTAAAGAAGGCTGTTGAAACAGCAGTTGCTATGGAAACAGCAACGAGGGACGCCGCAGAACTTCAGTCGTTGACCGCAAGTGTAAATAAGGTTGAGAAAAGGAAACCTTCGAGAAGAGTTGAACACAGGCCACGGCAAAAACCGGCGACCGCAAACTCGACCGGGAAACAAAACGGAAAATGCATTCACTGTGGTAAAGATAATCATGCATCTTTCAAATGCCGATTTAAGAATGCCATTTGCCATGCATGTAATGAACAGGGACACATAAAAAGTATTTGTCTGAAAGCACGTGCACGAGACGTACATGCCATGAACAACGACGACGTTCCTGTGATGAGTATAAATTCCGTGACCAAAGGTTCGAGCAGGAAAATCACCATCACACCAGAGATAGACGACAGACCCATACAAATGGAAGTCGATACGGGCTCAGCTGTTTCTCTGATGTCAAGAGAAGAGTTCCAGAAGTGTTTTGGAAATGTTACATTGGATAGGCCCACATCAGTGTTAAAGACATATTCTGGTGAAGAAATACAGCAAGCCGGAACAAAACTGGTAAATGTAAGGTACAATGGACAGTCAAAATCGCTGAAACTGTGTATTGTCATGGGCAACGGTCCCGCATTGTTTGGACTGGACTGGATGAATGAAATTGTATTGGACTGGTCACGTATTGTACATGTCAATTCAATTGATGACCACTCAACACAGACACGTATTGCCGATATTATGAATCGATAAGAGTCAATGTTTTCCGACGGTATCGGGAAAGTTAAAGATATTAAAGCAACATTATCTGTCAAAGAGAATGCGTCACCGAAATTCGTAAAGGCTAGGCCAGTACCATATTCGTTAAAGCCGAAAATAGAAAACGAGTTAGATACCCTAGAAGAACAGGGCATTATTACAAAAGTGAATACATCAAAATGGGCTACATCCATTGTGCCCGTTGTTAAATCTTCGGGAGGAGTTAGAATTTGTGGAGATTTCAAAGTCACCGTAAATCAAGCTAAATACCCACTTCCGAGAATAGAAGACATTTTCGCGAATCTGGCAAATCGAAAGAAATATTCAAAGTTGGATTTACGCCAAGCATATCTTCAATTGGAGTACGATGACAAAACAAAAGAAATGTTAACAATTAACACTCACAAAATTCTATATTGTTATAAAAGATTGTCATATGGAGTATCATCAGCACCTGCAATATGGCAAAGAACAATTGATCAAATTCTTCAAGGAATACAATGAGAACAGTGCATTCTCGATGATATGGCCATTACATGAGAAAATGATCAAGCTCACTTAAGTAACTTAGAAACATTATTGCAACGGCTCTCAAAATATGGTTTAACAGTGAATAAAGAAAAATGTCAGTTCTTTCAAGAGAGGATTACATATTGTGGTCATGAAATTGATGAAAACGGTCTGTGGAAATGTAATGATAAGGTGGATTCTATTTTAAATACACCACGTCCACAAAATGTCACATCTCTCAGGGCATATCTCGGATTACTAAATTACTATCATAGGTTCTTAAATAACCTAGCCACGGTAATTAAACCGCTTAATCAACTGCTAGAAAAGGGGCGTAAGTTTGTTTGGACTAAAGAATGTCAAAACGCGTTTGCGAAATCAAAAGATTTGATTACGTCAGATCCCATCCTCGTCGCCAGATTGTTATGTTTTCTATAGAGAAGTAACACGTCTTTAATGCTGAACTATCGTTTATTAACTGATTTGATACAGAGCGTGGCATGCTAAGATAGGGTTAGTAGGCGGGGCTTATTAGTAATACATTCTGACCAATGAATAACAGAGTTATACACAACAAAAGTATTATACAGTCCCTGCCCATAATGATTGAACAACTACATGTACCAATATCACTATCCATTTAATTAACATATTTGAAACAAATAATTATTTACTTAATCATAATTTATCAAGTATAGTTCATCATTTTGGTAACTAGGTGAGGTGAGCATTAATGTATACAATGATAAACTATACAAGGAAGTAAATTAGCATTTTAATGTTAGAAATTAAATCAAGGGAGGCAACAACGTTACACTGATGCATGCAAGGTGTTAGAGTTGCACGGCTTATTCTTAATCTTTTTGATCAGGCATTAGTACTTAGGACGACTTGACCTGAACTGCTTCGCGAAGAGCCTGTGTCGGGAGTGTTAGGGTTATGATGGCGAGGATTTAGAGAAGCAATGACGCATATCTACAAAAGCTTCAAATTTATTCAATGCTGCAAAATAGTTCGCATACAATTTCTCATAGAATATAAAAGTATATACATAGATATTTTTCACCATCTTCATTCGAGCTTGATTAATGTTTTATGGGAGGCCTCACAGTAATCCATTGCAAAAAAACGACGTGTGAAATAGTCTTTTTGTTCAGGGGATGTTTGACATTTCGATAGGCTGTACCAGTTATCTACCGTAGATTATAGAAGGTAACATTCTAGCGTAAACATAATATATACGCACCAGCTAATTCCCCTATGCAACTGGCGATGCTGTGTAAATCAAAGGTATATCACATTGGTTTTGAAAATTGATAAGATAGTAAAGATACCCAAAAGATAAATAATGTCTGAATACATAAAATAAGCATGTAATAATAGTGTGCATGTTTACAAAAGAAAATGTGTATAATGAAATTAACAAATTCATATAAATATTGATTATACAAATTAAAAGATTAAAATGGTGTCGTATTTTTCTTGCATACACACTATATCATAATGAATAAGAAATAGCATGTTAGAAAATCAAACAACACTAAAGACGGATATTCCTTTCCATAACGATGTAACAAAATTCCTGTCATTACTGAATGCATTATGCATGGCAGAACAAATTGCGCAAGTGTAACGTTCGGTCTTAAAATGTTTTTATGTCAGATCGCCGTAGTGTTCAACAAGCAAAATGGCAATATTTGATTCATTTTCAAAAAGAACTTTAGATTTCCCGCTTAGTTGAGGAATGGTAATAAAACCGTTTTGAATACCTAAAGATGTAATGTAAAAGAGTATTTTCATAAGAAGAAAACGTTATCAAACCTAAAGATCTGTGGTAACGATCGAATTTCGAGGTAATTCTTAAAATCAGTTTTATAGAATGTTTATTTGTTGAAATCAAAAGGTATTAATTTAATGTCTGTTCTTCAAAGACGTTTACACATTGCAATCATAAAATTATATAACCAACTTACAAGTTAGCTACAATTCATTCGAATCAAGGAATCAAGCTACTTAAATCGAACTGTTGCTGTATTTTACACACTGGAACTTAATCCTAAGTTAGACCTTTTGTTCGTATATTATTATAGTTATTCACATTGACCAACTATTACAAAGTTTTGTGCTTTATGATAGACAAACTTTAAATGCAATTAACATGGTATAAGTTAGTTAACACTTTCAGTGATTTAAGAAAATCTTCATATAACAGTCGATAACAATACTATTTACACGAAATCTGAGATAAGACGTCATTATAAATTGTTCAAATAGGAAAGTCCTTTCTTGCTTTGGTGCTTTCGTTTTCCCAGTTGTATATTTTGTCTTTGATCGCAGCTAATACTCCTTTAACACTGTGTTTCTTAAATGATTCTTCCGATGACGCTTTTACAGAGGGACATTCGTCATTGATGTCTTCCTTACTTGTCTCCTTACTTGTCCTCGACTTTATTTCTGCAATAAAATAGTTTTTTCAGATTATTTTGATTTTTCTCATTCTTTCAAAAATAATTTTGAGAAATAAGGCAAGCTGAGTATATAACCATAGAAGTATTTTCGTTTTTCAAATATACAATAAACAGAAACAGTCTGGTTTAGGCAAGTAAGCTCCTGTCCTGGCACAAAATCAAATATCACTATTTGAATATAATAACTAAAATACAATGACAAATATCGATAACATTCGCTGTTAGTGTTAGTATAAATCAACTGTAATAATATTCTAATTATATAAATATGATATTATCTTGTATAAAATTTTATCAATATAAGGAATTAGACCATTACAGCTATTACTAAAATTCCACAGCATGAGTTTTTATTTAAATCATTAACAAACCAATTTCCCATTTACAAAATGCATGAGAAAAAGTTACCTATCTTGTATATAATTCTCAAAAACTTATTGTAAAACATTATACTATGTGGACATGTGACGAAGATTGTAGAGCATTTTCTTTTCTTTTAGACATCATTTATGTCTGGTATGGTATAACCCTACTGTATTTCCCGATACCTTGATGATGTTCTTAATTTAGATAAAAAAAATTTTGATCAAACGATGTCGGATACCTATTCCAAAGAACCTCAACCGAATAAAACGAATTTTTAATTTTTTTATCACTCCATTTTTGGATCTTTATAAAACAATCGATGACAATACTATTCACACGTAAATCTATGATACTAGTATATGGGAGGATTTTGATTACGATATAGTCAATTATACACATTTTTTGATCGATATGTACGCCATGCAGTATTTTACGGGGTATATGAATCTCAGTTAATTATATTCGCTAGAGTTTGTAAACGATTTAAACGAACGGAATATTTTCATTACATAGTAATTCGCTTGGTGGGGATTCATTTTATTTGCACTGTCTTGTTTAAAAGGAACATGTTTGGGCTAAGGGAGAGGTTTGCTGCATCATTAACCGGTTTAAACTCCCCAGGAGTGCATATGCTGTTGACAGTTCTAAGGTTGCGCCTCTCTAGGTTTGTCAGATGTATGTCTTGTTTGTTGCCTCATGCTATTGTGGTGACACTTTTAAATCCCTTGATTGTTCTCGTCTACGGTAACTTTATTTTTAATTTTACACCCTCTCTCTCCCATTCCCCGGTCCTCAAGTCCTCTTCCCCTTAACCTTTTTACTTATGTAGGGGCCTATTATTTAATCGTCTTCTTTAATTTCCTGTACAGTTTCGATAGTTTTCTATTCTGAAGTATTTAAATTAATGTCCCATCCGTGCTTTGCCCTTGTGCATATTACTGATTTTGTTTGGTGTCCTTGCTGAAAGTCCTGTCTTGCTGGGTCGTAATGGGGATGTGTTCATTGAATGCCACCCTCCCTTGTTGCTCTTGTTTTTCATATGTCATGTTCTTATACATCACCTTCATCAAAATGACGTTTTTGTTCGTGAAAGAACGCTTGTCATATTGTTTATTATTTTTACTGGAACAAAAATCACTTATAAAAAAGACTGCTAATAATTAGTGTTTTACATAGCGGTGGCATATGCATTTTTTGATCGCTTTTGTGTCTGAAATGGTGTAAGGTATCAATTGGTTCAGTTATGATAAACTGAGCTATAGCAAGACATATTATTGAAGTATAGAATGTTTTACTTTTATTTTGTAAAAGAATTTGTGTACTTTTTGATGGATTGAGTCTGGCTATCAATACTCAAAAAAATCTTTGTAACTTATGGTCGGCAAACAAGGTAAAAATAGTCAATTAAAAGTATTGCATACTTTGGTTACATTTGTATATTAAATGTGACCTGGAAATAGAATAAAATCAATTAAACTGTCTTTCTGCATGTATGACTTTGGCATATTTTAATTCTTGTCTTAGTTTTATTTGTAAGCAAATCAGTCACTCACCCGCCGTTTTATTTATATTAACGTCTTTTTGCATATTGTTGTTCATGGTGTGTGACAGAACTAGTTTTAATACGATTTGTGCATCTTCCTCTAAGAGTGAAAGAATAGAGCGGAGTAATTTCACTGTCGTTACAAATGATACAACCGCACCGATAGGCATTCCTATCACAGGAACTGCCAAACCAACTGCCGATTCTACAACTTCAGAACAAATCAAAGCGCTCGATGCTATGACCGCTTTTGTGGTACATGCAAGGGCAAGTGATTTTAATGAATATTTGTCTGCCAACTCATCAATAGGCATATTCATCATAACGGTGAGTGCTTGCATATCATCATTGGAAAGCCCAAGTTGTTTGCGGTATAAACGTGTCTCGTTTGCTATAAGCAAACCATCTGCAATAAGGGATGTTCCTGGAATAGGAATTGCACCTGAAAGACTCGATAATGCGCCCATTCCCCATATTCTTTTACGGAGCGAATTTATTTTTCGCTGTAGTATTTCTGGTGTAAAAACATTAATCGAATATAAGAAAGCCTCACTCTTAAGTTCCGAAAAGCCGTCAACCAAATGAAGGAACAACTTTTCGAAATCCAGGTTTGCATAAAAAATGTCATTGTTGTTAATCAAATAAATGTTTTTTTCTTGTCCAAGATTTTTCTTGCAGTCTTCACGGATTTCATCAATAACCGTCAAGGGATTGTGTGGTTTCTTAGCTTTTCTTTTCCGGATGGCATCGCTGTAAATTTGTGCATCAACCTTTGAACGTACAAAAAGATATGGTCTTCCAGTCTGTTTTACCTCTTCAGCCAACCAAGACTCATCCTGAGTAAATCTGTCACATGCCATTATTATAAACATGTCGTACATTTGGAAACTTATTTCCGGATGTTTGAGATACGTTTTTCTTGGAAATGTGTCTGTGCCAACTCCAGGCAGATCCCACAATATCAGAAGCTTGTTGTTAGGGTGCGGATAAGCCTTTCTTTGTTTGGTGCATTCATTATTGCCAACCGTTGCGTAACCCGGCTGTGATTCGTCTATATCACCCCTAATAGCATTGATAAAAGATGATTTGCCAACGCCCGATCGACCTGTTACAGCAATGTTTAAATTTTCGTTTTGCCAGTTGTCCATTTTATCTTTGATCGCAGCTGATATTCCTTTAACGCCATGTTTCTTAAATGATTCTTCCAATGACGCTTTTACAGAGGAACATTCGTCATTTATGTCTTCCTTTTCTGCCCTCGACTTTATTACTGGAATAGAAATAATCATTCAGATGAATATGTAATTTTATTTATTTTTTTCATTATTTCAAAGATAGTTTTGAGTAATAAGGCAAACCGAGTACATAACCATAGAAGTATTTTCTTTTCTAAAATCAACATATAAGCAACAACACTTTGGTTTAGACGAATAAGCCCTTGACCTGAAACAAAATCTTAATACAACATCCAAATACAATAAATAAATTCGTTGTTAGTTTGGTATTAATCACTGGTAATATTCGTATAAATACAAAAACTAGTATAATTTGATTTTGTATAAAGGTAATGTATTTCTTTTCAGTGATAAAGTAAAAAGCAATAAATCCACTCAATCTGTTAGTCTCATCCCTGTGTCAAGTTCCGCTTAAACTATATTATAAAGCATTTAGATAAATGATAATAAGGTGAAAATTAATACTTAGAATATATTTAAAGTTAATTACAAAAATGATCGACTTATATTGCTAAGTACCTGGTCGCCCGTCCGTATATAAGTAGTTTTGTGTCGGTCTGTATCTTTTGAACCGACGGAAAGAAATTGAAAATAATTGGCAGAAATATTAACCATAAGACGATGTGCAAAGGGCCTTGACCTTCCCCATGTCAATGTCAAGGGCACACTTAGCCACTGAGTATCAATTAGAAAAGTCGTATCCGATCTGTATCATTTTAATGGATAGTTGGAAACAAAAAATGCAGAAATACTTTTATTATTGAGATGATGTGGAAAGCTCAGGTTTGGGCTTCCTCGGGTTAGGTCAAAGTCAAATTCACTCATTCAAAATCGGTATATAAGTTTGTATGTAACAAAAGAAATTGCAATGTATAATTCAGCAATATGCTTCCTTTCTCTTCCGATATGTTTGTACGTTACATCCCTGTACTTCCCAATTTCTATAACTTTATTTTTATTAAACCTCATATTTACAAACATTTTCTGTTAAGATTTTAACACTAGTTATTTATGTTTATATGATTTAATTGAAACAATGTTTTTGGGATGAAGGGCTGATATTTAGTTGCGGAATATGTCTCAATATACATTACTTTAAAATATATATTTATTTAAAGAAGAAATGAAAATAAAAAATTGCAGACTACGAGTCCCGTCATTACTTCTGATTTTCTAAATTGCTGAATTTTAAAGCTTAAGATAAAGGGAGGTACTAGGAACACATTTTCATATGCCAAAAAATATTTATGAAAAAGCTACAATGTTTGGCATGTAGCAGTGCCTCGTTGACTTCTACAAAACTTTATGAATCATGCTCCTGGGGCCTACCCAGGGGTCACTTAGATTGGAATATATATTCTTATGTAAAGGTACAATGCCAACACCTGAGTTATTTGGCATGTATAATTACTCGCAATAGTTACAAAAGAATTTTCACTGGTGTTAAAAATGGCTCTGCCAAGAGGTGGGGACGGGGTCTGTAACAATTTATATATACACCGATTTATATACAAGCGTATGTTAAAAGTCTTTTCCTCCAAACTTCAACATGCAGAACGTAGATATTTATCATGTAACATCAATTGATTGTCTTTATAAAAGTTGAATTATCACCTTTTTTACAAATCATGAAAATAAGGTGAATATGGCATGCTAAACGTTCAATATTTTTGGTCTATATCCAATATTTATATTGTATAACTATAATTTTGTATGCTATACCATAATATTTATTCTATCCTTCTAAAAATATTTGTTCATCAAAAATATTTGTGTGCGATAATTTTCTATATATATGTTTCTATATTTGAAAATATATATTGTATAATTTAAAATGTTTATTGGATACATAAAACATAGAAAGGAATAATGGAAAAAGGAAAACGGTTAAGTTATTGCATGGTTTGGAACTTTTCCTTTGTTCTTATTAATCCATTATACTCAGTACACTTTCAATAAGCATTTGAAAACTGTATTGATATATAGCAGTACAGTTTTTTCATTGATTCATATAGGGAAAAACTCGACTGCTATGTAGTCGAGTTTTATTTGCACCTGCTATATATCGGTTGAGTTTGTTTTGTTTTGTTTTTCACAGGGGCTCCAATTGGGCATCGGTAACGAACATTCGGAATAATTCAATGAAATACAAGTTATTCGCTAAATCAAAAGGAACATCCGCTGAATAAATTATTTCCACTTGAAAAGTCCTTAAATCTTGAATCAATATTACTTTCTCAACAAGGTGTCAGATTACAATCCGTCTCTAACATTAGACGCCTTTAAATTTTCAATGGTTGCACAATTATCTTCTGGTTTTTTTTTCTTGTTTTTTTTTTGTAAACATTTCCGCCTTATTATAAAAAGGTGTAAGTAAACATTTTTGTTTAATTGTCATGTAACTGCGGTAACGAGGCTCTGCCAAGTTGCCGCTAAACAGTTACCCGAGAGCAAGATATTCCCGGACACACCAACAGCCGTTGTTTGATTCTTTTTCTTGCATATTACATATCATATTATTATAAACTTCATATTATTTTCAGAACAGATATCACGAAAACTGATATTCTCATAACGCAGTTTTTCTTAATAGTAGCGTATGAAATTACCACTTCATTCATAATGGTAAAATGACGTCTTCCTGAGAACGCAATTCATTCATAAATGGCGCGCGGCAATGACGTTATTTAAAACGCGCGACTTGTCTAACATGGGGGGGGGGGTTAGACAGGTTTTTTCTAGCATCGGTGTAAACGGTAGATAATCGTGTCTGTCTAAGAAACAATCTTTATAATAATGCTCGTTTGTAACGTCGCTTTTCATTGGATAATAATAAAAGTTATATAGCTCTATATACACGGATGCTGTCAATTTATGAAGACATTTTTTTTCAATAAAAAAGATGTTTGCTGTATTAGAAATTTGTTATGAAGATTTTACGGGTTGTATGGCCATATTTAATCGGTTGCAACAAAACCTTAGTTTAGCCGTTCGGCAACAAAAGCCATATAACCTGTCAAAAAAAACGGTCATATAACCTGTCAAAAATCTTTATAACTAAAATTATAATATTGCACGATTATCCAATGGAAATCGACGTAACAAACGTGCAGTATTATAAAGACATATAGGCAAAATTAAAGATGTTCGGCATATATTCTTGAAACGTGGCATGATGTTAGAATATGATAAACATTTCAAGCCAAAAAACTTAGGGGTCACCGATCTCATTTTCTGCACATGAATTTCATTTTTTTTTACTTATTTGGGGTAATCTCAGGGGCAGATAACTTATACATACGTCTGAAAAATCTTTTTTCCTTTTGTAATGTTTTTCAGTATATTTTTCCATATTTTCAACCAAAAAAATCCATGAAATATTTGTGTTACCTTTTTTATAAAAGGTAATTTAATTCTTAAAAAATATACATTTTTGAAATCGCATAGTTTTACCATGTTCTTCAATGAATGCCACAATTTAAGCAAAAGAATGAAAACTCAATATTCTGTTCTTTACTAGTTACAAATACAGAGAAAGTTAAGTAATAAAAATAAGAAAAATGGATCGTATTTACTTTTCATGTGATTAACTTGAAAACGAGATCGTTGAATGGTTTTCTCTAATGCAAAGTTTAGAACATTTTTAATTCTGACTCCAAATAGGTCCTAAAATGTTATCGTTACAGTTATTTCTTTTTAGTTTTGACTGTAAACTCTCCTTATTTTGGAAATGTTATCAACGTATATTTTCTATTACTTTATTCATTTAAGTCGTTGGTTAAATAACGTAGTAATATTTTATCAAACGGGTTCAATAATTCAGTACTGACCCTAAGCGACCATGTACTGCACAGTCTGAGGTAAACTTGGCAACTAAAAGACTGTTGTTTTCTTATTTCTCATATTATGTTCTTTTTAACCAAATGTACGATTGTAATATATATATATATATATATATATATATATATATATATATATATATATATATATATATATATATATATATATATATATATATACATATATATATATATCAAATATGTACATATACACATGATGCGGACGGTTTATAACAATATCATTGTGGCTATTGGTCTACAAAAGCTCTTTTGTATCATAGGTAAAAAATAAATCACGTTCCCTGTTGTCGCAATATGAAACTCTTTTGTATCATAGCCAAAATTAAAACACGTTCCCTGTTGTTGCAATATGAAACCCCAGAAAAAAGTAACCGATGAACGAGCATACCAGCATCTAACTATGTACTCTCTGCGCATCGGTCGAATATTCGTCTATTCTGAAGTAGCGTGAGTGTATTCAGTGAGCTGCGAAGGGAGCGTACTAAATATGACATTTCTACATCGTTATCCCTTTCACTATCGTTACAATAAGTAAACCCCAGAAAAAATTAACAAATCAATGGGCATGCTTTCAAGTGCTTTCAAATAAAACTGCACTCCAGTTAACGCACTATGACTGTATACATATACGATTGAACTCTGACATATTTTCAACAGAAAGATCCCCAAACTATGATACAAGTATGAATTAGTGTTCTCAGTATGGTAATATAACACAGTGACATACAAATTTTAGATTGCTTTTCATATTTAAGAAGCAGGTTCTGTTAATCTTAACGAGAACTTCTTTTATATGTTTGTTGTTAAACCTCGAACTCAAGGTTTTTTTAAGTCCCAGATTGAACGTAAACTATTCTACCAAAGGAATGACAACGGAAGGAAAATGGAAGCGCAACTCAACATCTATTTGCATAAATAATCATATTATTTTAATTAAACTAAAGAAACACGTTTTTCTGATGTCAAAGAAAGAAAAGTGCTGTATTCTATTGAAAAATGAGTTATCTCAAGTAAACCCTCATAATGGACAACAAACGCACTGCGTTGCAATCAAATCGACCGCCGTCTGCGTTGTAAACATTTTTTTTACAATTCTTCTATAATTTAAAGCACTAAATGTACTGATGGAGAGGCTATAACAGAATATTTCAGACTTAATTTTCTTTTCTTTTTACTAAAAATGTGCTGTAATTTCAATTATTACCAAAATAAGAAGATCTGTCCATTGCGCCATTTATCCTTACTGTTGTGTTTATATATTCATTCATATGGTTAATATGGTGGACTAATCATTTTGTTAATATTCCAGAACTTTTCATTAAAGTATACATTCGGACTGTTAATCATGCAAATTTTGAAGACCTAAACTGTTAAATGACATGCCAGCAAGTATGGCGATTGTTCATACCACTTTACAACTGACGGTTCCTTATCACAATATTCTTCTACTCTGTAAATATGAAGAACATCGGACGCGTTCACACTTGTTCAATTTTGGAACATTGCGCGTTAATTTTGAATACCTGTGTTCAGCAAAGGCGTTCAATGTACGAGTTGAACACTTATCATTTGAACGTCAGTGTTCAATGGTAATCCTTCTGACTAGACAACATGAAAGTATTTGAGATTTTGAGTACTTGGGTAGGTTTTTTAGTCAATGTATTGTAACTGATGTTAGATTTACGCAATTCAATAAGTAATGATGCTTTAATAATTCAAACATTATAAAGTGGAACATAATATGAACAGTTATGTTGCGTTCATCCAATGTTCTAATTAAGAACGTGTCTAAAAATAGAATTGTGACAATTTGTGACGTCATAATGAGCATTCGCACGAGGGTTAGATTATCTCTACACTAAAATTGAAGAAAAATACGGTATAAACTTTAATTAAGTAACATATACTTCATAAGTATCCATAAATTTTATTTTTTATCAAATGGGTTTATGCACAGTATAGAACTAAGTCGACATGTTGTTGTAGTTCACAATGGCATAACGTGTCTCTATTCTTTTTACAAGGAGTAGATATGTGAAAATGTAGTTTTTTCTGAGCAGTCGGGGTTATTTAGATGCAAAGATAAGTGTAGTTCTTTAAATGATATATTTTGTTTCTATATATTTAATAGGATAGCGAGAAGATCTAAGTAAACTGTTGTTTCAAGCAGTGCTGAACGCTTTGAAATGCGGTATAGATCTACAGAAACTGGAGCAAAATGTTTACAGAAATAAGAAGGCAGTGGCGAACATATCGATACGCCAATACGCACGGGCGAATAAAAAGAAAAGGTTTCGAAAAAAATAAAATTTCAAAAATGAAATCATTAATTTGGGCGTAGATTATCAACATATTCGTAGCTGCTAATTGATTCTACAGGTATGCTTAGAATGTTACCTTATTCGAATATGCGTAACCTTTTCACGCACAATGAAATGAAATAATAAAAAAAGGGAGTAATAATATGATTGGAATTTTCTCTTTTTTCAGCTTGAGTTTAGCGTTAAAATGTTAATAAACCTCGTCAAAATCCAAAAAGGATAAGAAATTGTCCAATATATTACAATCATTTTTTTTTCAGAAGAATCAAATCAGTCAAAAGTAAACATTTATCTTTTTACATCTAGATCTATATGCAAAATAAAGATCTTGCTTGTATTTTACCTTGTAACTATAAATCGAATCAGAACATTATTTTTAAGTTAGTAATATTCATTCAACTTATATCCATTTCAAATTATATACATGTATAGAAAAATCGCACGAAAAATCGGCACGCTCATGACTTTCTTTCTTTCATATATATATATATATTATATATATATATATATATATATATATATAATATATATATATATATATATATAATATATATGGATGTGGCAATAGTTCACTGCAAAGATCTGATTCATAGTGTCTAAACTAGTCTACATAATATGGAATGAATATAAGTTGGATGAATATTACTAACCTGAAAATAATGTACTGATTTATAGTTACATATACGAGTATATAGACATATTCTTTATTATGCGTAGTCTCATATATACATATTTAAACATAGACTAATATACAACGAGAACAATGTTTAACCATATAAGACACATCATGTCTAAATTCTTTTATTTTCGCCGACTTTAGATAACAAATTTGCAAGTCTGTTTATGTGCGTGAGGCATTTAACTTCGTTATGAAATAACTTAAATATTTCGAATGGAAACTGAAAGACTAGAGTTAAGAACAAAAATGTTAAAGTCAATATTTATTGTCTACAACATTGACATAATACGCATTAAAATATATTTTAAGGAAGCTATAAATGATCGTGCGATGTGAATACGATAACTTTTCGTTACACTAAACATTTAAGCTGTTGTGTTTGTATTAAAGTCATACAGATCATTTTAAAGCATTTTTTCCTTGATTATATTTCACGTTAAGTTATGGTGAAACTAAAAAAAATAACAAAGAAAAACCTAAACTTGTAACAAAAGGAAATTAAAACCCATCTTGTTTACAAGAGAGACACCTGGCTATGTTTTGTTTTTTTCTAAAAGCAAATAACTTTTGAAGTACATTTATTTAAAACAGTGTACACGTTAGACTTCGTGCTACTTCTCTTACATTTCATATATGTACTTGATGTTATTTTCATAACTATAGATAAAGACAACAGTAGTACAATTAGCTTAAATATCTCCTAAATCCTTAGTTATAGCACATAACTATATTTGATATATAAGTCTCTTGCTATCCTTCGGCCAAAACCGGCACTCGGCGTGCACTTATAATAAGCCGAGGTACGCCCCTGACCATGTTAACAAATATTCAGCAGGATTGAATAAATATTATGGTATAGAATATTAAATTAGAGTTATACAATATAAATATTGGATATAGAACAAAAATTTCATTTGTCGAATAATTCTACGTTTAACATGCCATAGGTGAATGTCTGTGTGGAGCAACCTGTATAGCACAAATCGGTTAGAGTGCGAGTCTTGTAATCTCGATATTGTGTGTTCGATTCCCGGGCTGGCCAAATAAAATTATTAATCAGTCCTTCGGATGAGACTTAAATCGGTGTTACGTCTATGAGTGCTTAAACACCTCGCACGCAAAAGAACCGGGGGAAGCGTCTAGAATTTGTATCTGTATCTTGCACACTAAAGTTAAAAAACTAATGACGTATACTCTTCTGGACGACTCGCCCCTCTGGGCAACCGGTGGCGAGTTATAAAAAACCCAAATACATTGAGTATTGAGAAAGATAATAAGTAATTAAATTATTTGTAAGCACGTCTATTTAGTTTTTGGTAATTATTAGCAGTTATATTTTGTGCTTTTGAATTTCTTGTGTAATATAATTTTGTAGGTTTTTTATATTGCCCCGCCAATGCGGTGCTCTTGTTTAAAATTGTGTAATTTTACCAAATTGTTTTTGAGATATTGATTATCAATAAATGAAGGGAAAATGAAAAAAAGAAGTTAATAAATACATATTCATATTGTTATATTCAGCATTTAAAAAAAAGCTAATGATGATACCGTAGGGTAGTAGGTTTTTTGTAACTAAGTAAGTAATTATATATAATTCAAACTTACATTCTGCTGTAACCGTATCTGATAATTCATCAGATCCACTATCATGTTCTTTTATACTCGCACAAGCCATCCTTGTTTACTTAAAAACCAAACAAGTCCTCGTTTTTCAAATATTCTCACAAGTTTACCTTCGCGTTGTGTAATGTTAAGTATTTATAAGATTACATTATTTAAATTACTACTATGACGTCATTCCTTTGGTCTGACCGTACTGTATTTTTAATACAATACAGGTAGGTGTCAAATATTGATGTGCAAGTCCAATATAAATCGTGTAACACATTAATATTTAACAGTGTGCCGTGTAGTGAAAGAAGCTTGTATGACCACAGGACTTTGTGGAAAATTATCCAAATAAAAAAATAATAATAAAAGATTAAGTACAATGTAATCTCTTGTATCAGAAGTTAACACGAGGTATGCAACGTCTTTCCTTCGCCAAGTGCGCATTTTACAGAAAAGAACAAAGATTGCTATATGCCGATGATTTTTTGATCTTCAAACCTAGTGGTTTTCGATTTTCATGCTTCCATGGTGAAAGGTAGCGGAGCGTCAGTTAGGATGTGATATAAATGGGATTGATTAATTTTTGCCTATTGTCCGTTTTTCTTTTTTTAAATACATTTAGTTGACAATCATACTTGATTTGCTTCATTTTATGTGCTTCATGTTTCAGTTAAGTATACTTTTCAAATTAGAGTAATGGTCAGCTTTTCAAATAGATGTAATAGAGAAAATAAATTCATCTATCTTAAAAGCGGTTATATTTGACTATATTTATGATTTGATTATAAACAGAAACGATTACAAACTCGTGTGGTATAATAAATATCAATTAAAAAATAAGAAAATATAATTTTGTTGCGTAAGTATCCAAAATTCACACTAATGACCATTTTTAACCCTTTCCCTCATGAGCATATTGTGAAAAATGGCTGTTGTCTTTGAAAAGCCTCCTGTTACAAGATGAAACTGCTATGAAACTATGAAAAATGCTTCAATACTAATCAAACTTGGCACAAATGTTGACTGGACCATTGCCTTTGTAACGACATGCTCAGTCTTAAATTTCCTGTTACCATGGCAACGAGGGGACCTCCCAAAATTGCCAAAAATCACTATTTTGCCTTGATTTTTTCCATCAAAATTTATTTCAAAATGCTACAACTTCTCAAGGGATTGAGATAGAGTCAAAGGCTTTTCAGCGTTGGTTACACGTTACCATTTCATTATTGCTTGTTTTTCCTTAGACCACAGCTGTTTTCACTCGGCCAATCAGAGTAGTTTAAAAGTGTTTGATATATCCCACACAACACAGTAAAGTGTTTGATATAACTATCATGTTTGTTTTCAACTGAAAGAAAAACCCCGTTATGTGCACGCTTTATGCGGGGAAAATTTATATGTATATAAATCTCACATCCAACTGGTACGAGCGATCTATCTGACTTACAGCACAGGTAGTTTTCTCTGTTTAAGGTGAAGATTTAACATGCGTAAACGATTTTTTTCTCCGACAATGACATAGGGACATCCAAATATTTCTTACTCAATCTATTTGGCCTTATTGTAGGCAAAAAAGCAAAATTTCACATTCCATCACAAAGGTGCAGTAAGAAGAGAAATTTCGGAAGAATTTAAAATTTCTGAATGTGATATAATTACAATTTTGCAAGTTGAGAGATTTTGTTGTTATTCATGTTGATTCTTCATTTAAATGATTAAATGACATAACAACGTACACAGCGCTTGAATATGAAGTCAAGAAGCAAAACTGCTTACCGAAAAATACTCTTAGACAGAAATCATGGGCGATGGCTGCTTTTCTCAAGAGAAACGGACAGGTATTTTTCATTTAACGTTTTCCTTAATGCTTAAACAACCCTAGGGTTCAGGATATTGATTGGTTGTCTGGCTGAAGTTGAAAATATTTTACTTGACATATAGATTCGTGTTTTTGTTGTATGCTTTATATACATCCTGCATTGTCTTTTTTACCTCATTCATGAACTAAAAAAATATTTCAAACGTCCCTCTGAAGCCTTAAAGCATAGCATTGTCTTACCGTTGCAAACGCAGTCCAGGCACCGTTCGGAAACTCCACCCCCTGCCCACCAGTGGAATCCCCTCATCCCAAACCAAAAATGAATGTACATCTACAGTGTCTGCTATTAAGAGTGAGCCGGGCATAATGCACAAGGCACAGTGCCTAAAATATTAGCACGAAAACGGTCGTAAAATGTAGATACATATATAGATTTAGATAGATTGATAAACGCATTTCATTTCATTATTGCTTGTTTTTTCTTATTTACAAATACAGTAACTATTCTTGTAAAATGATGAACTGACGAAATAAATTGGTCAAAGGACTATTGCTATCTGTTATTTTTTAAGAAGGGGATTACACTATAAACTTTACTATATACATATAAGTTTTCCCCGCATAAAGCGTGCACATAACGGGGTTTTTCTTTCAGTTGAAAACAAACATGATAGTTATATCAAACACTTTACTGTGTTGTGTGGGATATATCAAACACTTTTAAACTACTCTGATTGGCCGAGAGAAAACAGCTGTGGTCTAAGAACATTTTGAAAATGTATTTAAAGTACAAGATTATGTGGTTAACAAAGAAAGCAATTACGACATTGCAAACGGCATTTACAATCTACATAAAAGAGATCAAATATGCAAAAATAGCCCTCAAGCAGTAGAAATATGACAAGTAATATGATAAGTACTCAAACATAAGTCATGAATCGCATAAAACATGTTGTTTTTTTTCTTCTTTATTTACTTCTCTGAAAACTCTTAGTACAGTTTTACTTAAATTTGATTTTCTAGAAATATATAAGCTCATCTGCAGACTTAATTTGATTTTTGGATAATAGAAAAATGCAACATCCTTCATGCACGCTAGCGCCGGCTTTATCAAACTGAGTCTGCAATTTTCATGCTATTTTGCTGTTTTAATGCTTTCTAGGGATAACTCTTTTTTCAGATTTTAATTTTCAATATATTTGCTGTTACTCAACTGATTTTTACGAGATCAGTGAAACCGAGAACCAGTTATTGTACATGCAACTTACGATACATACAAATTAAGAAAAACCCTGAATGGTCTCTTAAAACTTAAGAATTATTTTTGTAGCTCTAACCGAGACAATCGGTACTCACTGGAAAATAAAATAAGAAGTCGTCTGTTGATCCATACTGTTAAATATATATAACACATATAATAGATTTACCATTTCAAACGAACGTATCGAACAAATGAATTGCTGCTTTGATGTGTTTTCGTAAATTTATAATAATA